ATTGCAGTCGTGACCTCCTAACACAATCAATAACACGGCCGCACGTTGTAGACCATTCGAGCAGGCATGGGACTGTCTATTTTAAGCGTGGAACTTTATCGAGTTAAAATTAGAATGGGCCAAAAAACAAGCAAAAAATAAAATTTCATTCATACGCCTTATCACATTCGAATATTCTAAGCTTCTGCACTTTGCAACTGTACGAATTTGTCTTCATAGTCTGGAAACTTCGCTAATACTTATTGGAAACAGATTTGTTCCGCCAGCAAAATTGAATCGGCGGAATATAATTCGCTACTAGAGTGCAAATAATTCAGTGTAATATGAGCTCCTCAGGATTTGCTGATTAAGAAAGTTGAAACGTATTGGATACTCGTAATTTGAGATAAACCAAGAGCTAACCTATTAGAATTTTTCGAAACCGAATTGACATAACGACATAAGTGATGTCTAGAAATTATTTGTTCATTAGTAGTGGGATCAATTAGCAAGGCTTTATGATGGTTATCATTATCCCTTTAGTTGATTTCGGGCTTTATAGAGAGGAGGAACTTCAAAGTCACAAAATTCGAGGGGGGGGGGGGACAGAAGAGTGATTCACGTATGTAAAGGAGCGAGACAGACAAAAAGGTAGAGAAAACTGTAAGGAAAGGTGGTACTGTGAAAGTGGTAGAATATGGCATGAGGTCGGGTCATGGTAGTTTGAAGTGAGAAGTCAACTGCCGGACAATAGAAAGGTTTGTCGTATGAGTATACGTAGCCCAGGGTGTAGCACGTGGAGGTAAGTCTATCAAGTACCCAGATCTGACAAAATTCTGTTGCATAGATTCAGTGACAATAAAGTTAGAGTTATTTTATGGAAACAAGTCCAAAATTAGCATTTAAACGCGCTTGAATGATGCGTAAATCGGCAGCTATGCACAAAATCGAGTGTTCTATTTTTTAACATAATGAAGTAGGCTGACGTCGGCTAATTGAAGTGGATAACAATTTGATAAATCTCAAAAATTTCATTCAAGGATTCGTTCTCTTAGCCACAGCTATGATACTCGGACATCTGGATTTTAGACCTAAAACGTCTCCACTTAATTCCAGAGGACATTTATTTGCTCAGGCAATTTGAAACTTAAAGTGTTCAACGATATAGTCTAAATAAGACGCAGATTCTCCTCATTTTGCTATTCTATATGCACTGCAAAATCGGCTATGACACTGGCAGAGTTTTCCATGACTCCATTGTCTCCTCTCATTCATTTAATTACTAGTGAGCTAGTAATTAAATAAAATCGATACTCTTTGGGTAAACATCCACATAGAAGCAAATTTCGTAGTCACACGTTCAACTTGTGCAATTCCCTTGGCAGTTTATTCAAATTTGTTGGAATAATGAAGAGCTGAATTTCACTTTCAGGAGTCATAAATCATCAACTGGCAGCCAACTAATGCACGTGGATTTTCATTTTTCAATCGGCATAAATTGCGTTGCATCCCAATTTTAGATCTGGAATTTCCTGTCACTAGAATGGACATGAGGAGGGGAAAGGCTCTCCTTGTCCTCAACCCCCCCTCCCCTTGCGTGGGTAAAAGATGATCGTGTTTATATAATTACCTTCTCCGTTCTCCATGTTCACCAGAAAATGGATTTCTTTGGTAAAAAATAGCAGTATCCTTCCTTCAACTAAATGCTATTATATATTTTCATGTTATTATCAGAAATTGGTTTAAGAATCCACTTTTGGAGTTCTGGCCCAAAAAGATTTCTGAATAGTCTTCGGGCCCGACAGTTATTTTGGGACAAAGTCGGTTATTAATCCAGCTAGGTTTAGATCTCCAAGCATGCAGAACAATTGTAGTGTCCCAGAATTATGGCTTGTTTTAGTGAATTTATTTATCTATTTATATCAAATGGCAGGCCTTGTGATAGTTATCATTAGCCCTATAATTGACTTCAGGCTTCACAGGTGGGAGGATCAGGCAAAGTCACAAAAAGGTAGAGAAAAAGAATATGACATACAGTCGGGTCATGGTAGTTTGAAGTGAGAAGTCAACTGCCGGTTAATTGACTTTTTGCCGTATGGATGCACACTGCCCAAGGTGCGCGACTTGGAGTAATAAATTTATTTAACTTAAATAGCGGGCTCCATGATACTTATCATTAGCCCTTTAGCTGGCTTTGGGCTTCACAGAGGGGAGGAATAACAAACTGAGAGAAGTAGAGAGGGGAAGCAGAAAGTGATTCAAGGATGTAAAAGAGATAGACGGGCACAAAGGCGGAGAAAAGGTATAGTGAGTACTGTGAAAGTGGTGGAATATGGCATACAGTGGGGGTGATGGTAGTTTGAAGTGAGAAGTCTACTGCCGGTTAATAGACTTTTTTGTCGTATGAGTATACATTGCTCAGGGTGCACCACTTGTTTTAGTGAATATGTTGACGCCGTTTATTCTCCTTTTCTATTCATACTCAACTTTTGCGCAGTGATATAGGGCGAAAAATTAGATAAAGCTACTTGCCAGCATTCTCGACAGCGTGGAAGAGCCTTGTTCTACGAATTGTTAGTTAGGCATGCAATCTTGGCAAAATTCCGCTTCTTCGACTAATGGATATGACTACTGAACTCGCTGCCAACACGAGTACGATTATCATAGTGATATTGCTTTCTCAATGAGTATTGTTAGATCACTTTTAAATTATAATGAATATTAATAATAATTCCAATGCAAAATGTTGCGATTGACTGAACTCACATCACTTTGAATTCATCATATAAAAGTTATCACTCAGGTGAACTCACTAGTGAGTATTTTATTCGTCGTTGCAAATTATGTCAGCCCTATTCTTGATGTTGGAAGGAGATCTAGAAAACAATAAGGTATATCAAAGTGATCCTACAGCCAGAGTTAATCGTCGGAATCGTCCGATATTAATTCAGATGAAACCAGAGGACGATATCATCACGATTGGTCGACATGGTTCAGATGGGAATCTGAGTTACAGTCTAGAGAGTTGTTTCGTGCAAGATCTCATCTCACCGCTGCATGCAACAATTAGGCGAACAGCAAATGGAAACTTTGAGCTAGAAGATCACAGCACCAATGGCACCTACGTGAATTATCGACGTGTGAACGGAAGGACTATCCTAAACGACGGCGATGTTGTTTGTTTTGGGCACCTGGATGCTGGATTTATCAACCCGGGTGATGAAGTACCACAGTATAAATATGACTTAAAGTATACGGTAAGATTCATTGACTTCACTTCTAATTCTTTAGGTGGCAATCGCCCCTGAAGATGATGAGATCTTCTCATTTCCACTTTAAATTACTTTCCTTTTATCAATAAACGTTTTTGCGGACTCCCTTTAGCGTCTATTTCTTTGTAGCAAAATTCACTTGAATTGCACAAATAGTTCGCTAATGTTTTTTAGTTGTTGACTGTCAAAATGTATAGTTAAAAATATTATAATTTCCGCACTAAAGATCAAGTAAAGCTTGGGGATTTCCTTCTTGGAAAGTATGGATACTACTTTAAAGTTTACAATGTGCTTGAGGACTTACTTTATCTTGGGTATTTATTTATTTATCATTAGCCCTTTAGCTTACCTCGGGCTTCACAGAGGGGAGGAACATTAAAGTGAAAAAAGTCGAGAGGGGGGAAGGAACAGAAGAGTGATTCACAGGTATAAAAGCGACGGGCAGACACAAAGGTAGAGAAAAGGGTAAGGTGAGTACTGTGAAAGTAGTTAAATATGACATGCAGTGGGGTGATGGTAGTTTGAAGTCAGAAGTCAACTGCCGGTTAATAGACTTTTTGCCGTATGAGTGTACGCTACCCAGGGTGCATCACGTGGAGGTAAGTCTATCGCACACCCCTTCAATTAAATTATAGATTTAAGCGTTTTCTTCAGGCCACCAAGGGATACCCTGTAGTTAAAACATCTCATGGATAATCTTTGACGTTACTGCTTTGCTTGTGTTTACTGCGCGTTCGTTTCGTGGGCCCCGCTCTGGTAAATAAAACAGGTTTCTTTATGCAAAATGCATGAAAATACTCTTTTAATTGTTCAAAAAAGCTAGTTTAGAAGACTGAACGTCTACCAATAAGGCGCACAAGTGCCCACGTGCAGTTTCTTGGAGGTGCGCATAAACAAGATGAGCCAATTCTATAATAATATTTTCTCCTAAACTATGGGCAAATTTTTCGGAGGGTATAAGGGAATATTAATGCACACCGAATGATAAATGCATGAAAATGAAAAATGGGGCATTTTTGCTAAATTTGGATTAAACAAGACACAACCGAGCATTGCACTGTTTCAGAATTTATTTCACTTGCCGTTCCAGCTGAAGAGGAGCAGAAGGTTTCGCATCGAATGATGGGAGGGGGGGGGGGGTTTCAACTTTATTCGCTAGGTGTTCTATGAATGAAGAAGGTTCAATTAAAGTAATAAAATTTTAAATCTGATGTAAATAGACTTGCAGTCCCTAGGACCAAAACACCACATGTATCTCTTTCTATCTCTCTTTCCATGCAATTCTTTAGATGACTAGTACGTTCCATTCAAGGTTTACAAAGTGTTCAAGTACCGTATCCCCATTGTTTCTTTTCAGAGATAAATAAATATATCTTTTCAATCCATACTTTTAGTTTGACCTTTCAGTTATGATAAGATGCCGACATACAAAGCTAAATACCGCAGTATTGATGTATGCCTTGGGATTAACTATTCCCCAAGGTGGTATCTAGGTCTCGCCTCACCCCTGTCGATCTTCGAGTGCAGACCGATCCGGGTAGCTTGGCAGGAGATAATGTTTTGACATTAGCATGTATATATGTCCCTGTTCCCACCCCCACCCCCTCACTACTTTTTTCGATTTGATGTTCCTCCTTCTCTCTGTGAAACCCCGGAGGTCAACTAAATGGCTAATGCTAACTATCAAAACTCCTACCATTTGATATAAATAAATGTTCATGATGACGACGACGACAAAGTCAAGCAGGAAAGTAAGTAGGGTACGGAAAATACCAGTCTTATAAACAACTGATTTCGTGTCTCCCACGCCCCACCCGGGCGAAAGTGGTGGTGGTAGTGATGGTGGTTTTATGATAACAGGCAGCTGTTTCTTCCTCCCTCTCTCCCCCCCTCTCTCAATCCCTCAGCGTAAGGCGTCAGTAACTTTGTAAAAACAACAGCCCTAAGGCACACATTAAATCTACTTCTCCTCGCATTAAACACTTTCTGAGTCCCTACGTCAAATGAATTGTCCGAAATACATTAATATCCCGTTTTGTGCATCAATAAAATCTGCCCAAAATATGCGTTGCCAGGGCGAAGATAAGGCCCGCTGGTTGTTTTCGTCAAAGTAAATGGGGAATTTCATGCTACCACCTCTTGTTCGCCAAGCTTGTCACTGTGGCAGGAGTGGTAAATGGCAAGAGTTAATTTCCTCCGAAAGCAACTTTTCAATCTATATGCTGACCTTTAGTTCTTTGACAAGATTTCGGATTTGAAAAAAAAACAAGAGTGATTAATTATGATGTTGGCGCCCCTGATTCACGCCTAAGAACTCCCCCAACCAGGCACGCAAAGACAAAATAGGGCAATGTGTGTGGATTCAGCGAACCGGCAAGATTGACTTCTGAATTTCGGAATGCGAGCAATACCTCTCTGGTGTTTATTAAATAGTGAACTAATAATTCTATGTCCAAACCCCTATTTTTGGCAATAGGAAGGCAGAACGGACCAATAGGTAGAGTTGTTAATTTGTTTTTTTTCTCTTCTGATCTGGATCAAATGTAGGCTAAGAGCACATGAAGTGGGATTCATTATGTACTTGATCTGTCTACTAGCGTGCATTCTAGAAGTGAATGAGAGATTGGTAGTACAAGCTCAGAACTGAACACTGCCTTTTCTGCATTATTGAAATACACAAATCAATAAAAGGAATGGGTCGAATATAGGTCTTTTCAAACTAAAATGAATTGAAACAGATTTTGGAATTTGTAAGAAAATGTGCACAGGAATTATTATCAAACCAATCAGTCAACACACTAATTATGTTAATTTTAATGTCTTTTTGTAGTGTGAAACCCAAAGCCTCTTGGAAGAACATGAGGTAAAAACTAAATCTGCTTCTCAGATTATCAACCGATAAGAAGAGGGGTGGGGGGGGGGGGGGAATTTGTCTAATGAACTTATTTATTTGTTTATTAAATGGTAATTTATTTGGGACTTTACATTCACTGCAATTCTATTTACACATAAATAATTCAGGATCCACTGAACCCACACGTTGGATATGCGTATTTGATTGAAAGCCAATTGGCCTCTCTCTCTTTCTCCTCCCTTTTACATTTATTTTGATCGATTTCACGCTGGCGACCATTCTTGGCTTTTTTTGAGAGTAATAGTTTTATTTATTTATATCAAATGGCTGGAGTTTTGATAGTTGACTTCAGGCTTCACAGAAAGGAGGAGGAACATCAAAGTGAAAAAGTCGATAAGAGGGGGGGGGCAGAAGAGTGTTTCAAAGATGTGAAAGAGGCAGACACAAAGGTAGAGTGAAAATGGTGAGGTGAGTACTGTGAAAGTGATCGGATATGACATACAGTGAGGTGATGGTAGTTTGAAGTCAGAAGTCAGCTGCCGAATAATAGACTTTTTGCCGTATGAGTATACGTTGCCCAGGGTGCACCATGTGGAGGTATGTCTATCGCACACCCCTTGAGAGTAATAGTTGAACCTTGGCCAGTAGTTGACTCCTCTTCTTGTCGGGGAGAAAGTGCTAATTAAAAAGGGGTAGAGCCTGATTGGTGCTTAAATACCACTGCACTTCAATTGACTAGTGCGGTTATAATCACCTGATACGCCGGTTTCTCATGTGACTCATATATAAGCCGCTCCAATGCTGGCTCTAACTGAAGCCCCGCTACCTTATAATTTTCAACTGACAAGGAAAGCGAAGTCGGTAGACCGCATTGTAGCCCCCTTTCCCCGCCACCCTCTCTTTCCTCCCCAATTCCTCCTTTTTTCTCCTCCCAATCACTTCCAAGCTTTCAACAAAACTCTGTCAAACCAACCCGTTGTCTTCTAACCCCATTGAATGCCCTTTTAATCTGCCAGCCACCGAAAGGTTATTGGTTTTTTTTTTCTTGGAAAGCGAATTTTCCATCTGCCCTATCTACTTATTTATAGGAGGGTCAAAAACCGCATAGCCAGCTAGCCTCAGTATCCTAATCTAGATATAATGCGAAACAATGCACATTTATATGTTAAGTTCAGCTTTATTTTGCTAGACATAGCACATCATTAGTTACCAGACAGTTGTTAGTGGATCACGCCAAGTGTAATGCAAGGATGACCATCAGTCACTTCGAAGCAGGAAAAACCGAAGTAGATTCCTTTAGGTTGCAGCCGATTTGTCCAGAAACTGGGTTCCAATTAGTCCTTAGCCTTTTTAATATTTATTTATTTATATCAAATGGCAGGCGTTTTGATAGTTATCATTAGCTCTGGAGCTGACTTCGGGGCTTCACGAAGAGGAGAAGGGACATCAAAGTGACAAAAAGTCGAGATGGGAGACAGAATAATGATTCACAGAGGTAAAAGAGACAGACAGACACAAAGGCATAAAAAAGGTAAGATGAGTACTGTGGAAGGGGTCGAACATAAAAAATAGTCGGGCCATAGAAATTTGAAGTCAGAAGTTAACTGCCGATCAATAGACTTTTTTGCCGTATAAGTATACGTTGCCCAGGGTGCACCACGTGGAGGTAAGTCTACTGCGCACCCCAACCTTTTTAATATAAGTGTATGACAGCAAATACTAACGAATTCCTCGTTCAGAATTCTTTTCAGCTTCTGTTATTCAATTAACAGACGTTCATTTTGGGTAGAAAATAACAGTAGATCCTTATTATTTACTATCCCTCTTTACTAATATTTATATCAAATGACTGGCGTTTTGATGGTTATCATTAGCCCTTTAGTTGACTTCAGGCTTCACAGAGGGGGGGGGGGAAGGAACATCAAGTGAAATGAAATCTTGGTTGAAAAGCAGCTTTTCGGTTGTTTATAATGCGAGAGCAAGTATCGCCTTAATTTGTGTAGTACAAAATTAGACTGAGCAACGATGTGCAAGTCGCGTTAGGGGGCACACGAGGCCACGGGTGCGGAGCCCTCTCAACTAACCAATGGTCAATAGTCATTTCAGGTTATTCTACGACATTTGTTTGTTTCCTCCATATCGTTGAGTCCCGGTAACTAATTTCGTTAGTCACTGCTAACTAGGAGATCTTGCCATAGGGATTGGTGAGGCTACATCAAGGCCTATTCGTGTAACATTCCACAATAAATTAAATACCAAATAATTAACCTGGTTAGCGCATACGTTATTGCTATTTTCTTTTAACCTGAAAATCGAGAAATCAACCTACCACAGAAGAATACCCCGCTGACAATATTGGTAAACAACCAGCTAGTCATTTATTCCACTTCATTTATTATTCTACATCCCCTTCATTGAGTTTGAGTTGAAAGTAGCATGTGGAGCACACAACGTTGATACCGCTGAACACAAGTAATCCCATGCGCACCCAGAGCAGGCGTGAAGGTGCGGCCGTGCAAACTTCGCGTAAGGAGTAAGTGCGGCGTGAGTGCGGAGAATACACACAGCCAACCGCCAGTCAATAAACCTCGCTTGACTATATATATCCACCCATTCACACAGATCCAGAATAATACGTTTGTCTTCTCCATCTCTTTGCGGTAGCTTAGTTAGTTCTGGGAGTATTCCGTACGTAGGAGAATCTGCCACCGAGATTTCTGAGCGTTGTCAAGGCTAATTAGTGGAGCAATCCGATATAATCATTATAAGGGACGAATGGAAGTTATATAAGTCTTAAATAATTTTGCAGAAATCTGAGTGAACTTGTATAGTTTTTAACTGGTAAAGCGAGTCAATGCGTTATAGCACGTCCCAACTGCTAAAGTAAACCCGATTTTGAAGACGATCTTTAAAAGCTAACTCTGAATAGGGATTTCAATGTTGGTGTGTAAATTTGTAACACTCAAACGAGTTTCAAATGATGCTATAAGGAATATTTTCAGTCACCTGTGAAGATCGGATAAACTATCAAGGCCAAAATCCGACAATCAATAAAATGAGGATTTAGGAGGAAAAAATATCAATCAATTTTGATTCAATTATATATACTATACTGAGGATAGTGATTTCTCATAATATCTTGTCCACTTAATATTATTGTTTCCGACTTATCATCCTACAAACTCATAAAACTCCAGCTAATATTTTCTAATCTATAAGTTTCTCAATAATAAGTACATTTCACATACCGCCTCCTAAATATATTAGTCAATGAAGAGTTTGTATAGTTTGGAAAAACGTAACATTAAATTTAATTATTCTAATTACTTTTACGATACGTCCGCAAGCATGTAATTGAATAATCTAAAATACCTACAATGAATGCTTCTCCTTTGGGGCTTAGAAAATCGCATAAAATATCGATACATAGCTAAATTACATACTAAAGATATGGTATTGCTCTTGAAATGCAAATTTAATTTAACTATAAAAGTACAAAATAATCAAATTATATAAAATTGAGGATGAAGGAAAATGGAACAGATGGCAACAAGCCCGAAATTCACTTGGATTCACATAAAGACAGTCTGGGTTATAGTTCATTTGACTCTTGAACTCGACTTGTTGATGAAAAGTCTATATTAATTCTTGGCCCCTAATATGCCAACAGCCTGCTCCTTCGAAATTCATTTTCCCCACCAAATTTCAAGACGCGTCAATATCTAGAAATCAATTACGATATATCTATTGCGATTTTAGCTTAAGTGAATTGTGTTAGAGTTACGTATTCAATGAATAATTATCCTGGAAGAATATGCTTACTTTGTATTCGAAATCGAATACTAATCCATCATTAATTTCAGACATACGTTCCACCAAAGGAAGATAAAAAATTGTTGACTCGCCTGAATCTCTTACAAAAAATACGAATATAACATTAGATATTGGGACATGTTATCTAATATTAGAAGGAAAAAGTTACAAAGCCAATCCAAAATGAAATTTAAGAAGACATTTGAGTAAACATCATAATGTTAATTTTATTCAAGTGCATATTATAAAGCTGTAAAGGAGATTTGAATCCGCTTTCCTTATTTATTATTATTTTTCTTTGAAGGTTTACAAGAGATTTAAGCAAAGTTCAATCCGAAAAGTAGAAATTTAATATAACACCAGATTCTGACCCATTTGAAAACAATGAGGATAATTATTAACCACAGAACTCTTCCATATGCAAGCTCAACAGGAAATAGATAAAATGATCACGAGGCGAAATCGTCTATATTTTCATTCAAATAACACGTCTTTTATTTTCGAAAATAAGATCAGTGAAATATCATAAATTAATAATAGAACGTTAATTATTGGGCGTATAAGTGCGTTACTACATAAAATACTTTCACAAACGGTACAAGTATTTGTTTAAGCTTACAACAGAATATAAGTCGATTGCTTGAACACGTTTGGCTTTATTCGGGCCACGTGCGTGGTGAGTTGTTGGTCGCGTTAGTTATATCCTTCTATTCCATGTAATTTTATCAAGATATATCTAAATTACAGATGGTTGTTGAAAAATCCTCCCCTATAATGGACCCGATTCAAAAGGAAAACGTGGAAAGGAAATTATCTCTAAGGAACATGTGCTCAGTCAAACTCACCAACATGCCAAAGCGGTACAATTACACCGCTCTTGTAGAATTGGTTCCCGATATGACTGCCTGTCGGATTTTATACGATTCGGTCTCAAGAAGACCAAAGAATCACTGTTATATTGAGTTTTCATCTAATGAAGCCGCAATTAAGTGTGCGCAAAAGCTAAATAATGCAGAATTTCTGGGCAAAAAAATTCAAGCCTCAACCGGGGCAGATTTGTCTGAAAGTGCTGGTAAGCCGACTATTTCACTCATATTTTAAGATGATTATATCCCTCTTAGCATCCTCTTATACAACCTCCATTGGAAAACTTCTAAGGGAGAAATTGCCAAACACTTTCCTACTTCAAAGTCAATTGATATTGTTACCAAAACAAAGAAAGGAAATGTTGATAAACGTCAACCGGGTGTTGCTAAGCTGACGTTCAATACTATAGATGAATCCATATCTTCCGTTGATGAGAAGCAAGGTTGCATAATCCACGGTCGTCGTGTGTCGATTCACTTCTGTCCAAAGCAGTCAAAATCGTAGGTGTTTTTTTGATTATTGATTTATTTTTGGTAGGAAAGTTATTGGCTTGACGGTGTATGGATTTAAAAAGGATACCACTGAATCCGAAGTCAGAGCTATCTTTCCTCAAGCCAATAAAGTAGATCTGTTTCCTCTTGGTGGATTTGCGGTACTGCATTATGACCTCTTTGAAGATTGCAAATTGGATAGGAAAAATGCTCTTGGAGCTGAGATGAAGGGGCGAAAATTGAGAGTCCTCTACAAATATCAGACAGAAGAAAAGAAAGACCTGACAGTTAAAAAGCAGACCAGAGAAGCATCTGGAGCTTCTACGTCACTGATTTTTGTGAAAAATCTCGGCAGAAATGCAACTGAAGAACAAATCGCGTCCCTCTTTCCCAACACGAAAATTGTCAGTATGCCTAAAAAGGGCAAGGCTTGTCGGGGGTACGTTTCATTTGATCATTTCGTTTGAATGAATTAGTTTGTCCTTTCCTAATACTTCTTGAGTAATTCAAGGGGATTCGCCAAGGACGAAATATAAAGACGTTGTGTGTGGTTACAGCGTCTTATATAGTCACTATTACACTTTACTATTCCAATGATAATTCGTAGTGTGTCTAATTAGGGCGATAGATTTTTGGGGCTTAAAAATTATAGCTTAATCTTTTTCTTTTAGGTATGCCATTATTGACTGCAAGTCCGTGATCTCAGCGAGACGTTTCTTAGCTAAGCCACAAATGCTTAACGGTCGGAAACTTGTAATAGAACCAGCATCTGCTAAGAAAAGCAAAACAAAAACTGTAAAAACAGCTAACGCTTCTTAGATTGTACAGATTACTTGTGTTTGTATTTATGAATATATATTTTACAAGATTTTATTGCTGTCTTTTGAAGTACTAAGCTGTCCTTGTTAATGCTCTCCGGGCCTATAATATTACGCAGGCTTGGAGTTCTATTGATCTGGTGCATTTTCCCCACTACAAGCTATGTGTGGGATTATTTTGTGATGTGGCTTCGGCTATGGATTTGAATGCTCAAGTTCAGGCCGAAAAGCTCCCGTACCCTGCGGACCTCTGTGCCATACTGGATGCTGACTACATCGTGGATCTCATACAGGTATTATTTCTTGTTCTTTTCTTTCATCATCATCATACTGTCCATCTTTGAGATTGAGCTGTTCGGCTTGATTTACGCAAATGGACTAAAGTTAAACTGAGGAGTCACCGAGCTGATGCGCGTTAGTGTTTCTGCTCCATACTCCTCAACATTTCTATTTCTCCAATTTTTTTCAACTTATTTGCGAAATTTAGGAGTAATTTCCGTTTTGCAGGTTGAAAGTGCAGCCGCGCAAGCTCTAGTAAATAGATCTGGCGGGAAACTTCAGGGGAAAGGCGTGTTCTCAACTGAGCTGCTCGCATGTTTGCATCCGAAGCACTCGATCAAAGAAGCCGTAGCTACATTTGGTGTTAAGTATTCGACCCAAAGGGTTCTGGTTGTCCTCCTTCAAACTCCTGATGTACCTTCTCCTGATTTAGACAAAATGAATGCCTTCTTGCCAGGAAAACTCGGAGATCTGAGTTCCCTTTATGAATGTTTTGATCAGGAAAAGGTTTCTGATATTTATGGCATTTCTGGAACTGAATTTGAACGCCACGAAGGAGAAAAAGCTTACGTACTCAGTGTCCTAACCCGAATGTCTGCCAGTCTATTATCACGTTGAATATATATCTTTTTGTGCTTACTGCTGTTGTTTCAGTCTTCGAATTTTGCTGTTGTTTGCTCAGACAAAGAGCTTTGATTCTGTTTGCAATCAGAGTGTCATATCTGAGCTAAATGAGAAGATTCATCGCTAGCGGATAGGAGCTCATTCTCCTAAACGTTAGATTGAATCGAATATTCCCAATTTCGATGCTCGATGTTGCTTATGGAATAGAGGAACTGTGGTGTAGGGTTTGCTAAAGTTGATCTGCTGTCAAATTGACCTCGTGTGCATCTCTCGGAAGTTCTCCATTTTTTGTGGAGCACTAAACTGGGGATGCTAAATTATATTTGTGATTTGTCTTCGGGCTTATCACACATTATATCTGTAGTTTGTTGCCTTATATTGGCATTAGCCTCTGGTTTCTCCGCGTTTGCTTAGTTTCGGACGTTAGAAGTAATCAAAAAATTGATCGAGCTTTATTCTTGTCTTGCTGATTTGTGTAAGGAGATTGCTCTAGTAGAGCCCCGATTCTGTTTGCAATCAGTGTCATGGCCGAGCCAAATAGATAGCGGTTGGGAGCTTGTATTCCTAAATGTTGGTTTGAATTGAATTTCTCCAATTTTGATACCTATTCTCCTGATGAAAAAGTGAGTATTAGGTATGCTGAATTTGGTCTGAGGTCAGCTTTGATATTAACCGCTATTGTTAGTAATCTTGAATAAAGGACATGTTTGGATAGTCGATCATTTGGATTGAGCGGGTTAAGTTTATTTATATCAGATGGCAAGCGTTTTGATAGTCATCAATAGCCTTTTAGTTCACTTCAGGCTTCACAGAGGGGAGGAGGAACATCAAAGTGAAAGTCGAGAGAGGGGTGGGAACAGAAGAGTGTTTCAAAGCCTTCAGGCTTCACAGAGGGGAAGGAACATCAAATTGAAAACAAGTCGAGAGGGGAGGAACAGAAGAGCGTTTCAAAGATGCAAAAGGGTCGAGTGGGGGGGGACAGAAGAGTGTTTCAAGATGCAAAAGAGACATGTCGAGAAGGGGGGGGGGACTGAAAAGCGTTTCAAAGATGTGAGAGTGGCATCACAAAGGTCGAGAGTAGGTTAAGGCGAGCAGTGGAAGTGGTGGAATATAACATTTAGTGGGGTCTTAGTATTTTCAGTGAGAAGTCAACTACTGGTTAATAGATTTGCCGTATGAGTTTGCGTTGCCCTGGGTACACCACTTGGAGGTAAGTCCATTGCACATTCCGAGCGGTTTAAGTTGATTTCTGCAAATGAGCGAGTTACTCTTCAATTTTATTGGCGTCGAATCGCTGAATGGCCTCTACCTCGGCGAAGAGGCCTTCTACTCTTTGCAATCAGTGCCCTATCTGAGTCGTGCACCAAATCTTAAACGGGTGAAATTGAGTGAAAAATGTGTACTCAAGGTCGTGCATTCCCCGGAAGTTCGCCATGTCTTGTGGGGAATTAAACTGGGCATGCTAGAGTAATTGGAAGAGCAAGCTTGAGGCTTCCTTCTATATGCCGTCTGTTACCGGTAAAACACGTATATTTAAATCAATAATGAGATCCACGCGCAATTCATAGAGCTATTTCAGAGGGTGGGGGGGTCACGAATCGCGAATGGTTTTAATACTATTTCTCGTGGTAGTGACATTTTTTTCAGAAGTGTTGTCGCATGATAGTCCATTTCATCTTCAATCCAATTCATTCCGAGTCCCAGTACTTGCCCTCTCCCCCCCCCCCCCCCCCCACCTACAAGTAGACATTTTTATTCGACAATGAGTCTGCGTGGGTCATTAAATATACTTATGGATCTCATACTACTTCGAGTACTTCATTTTATGCTTACTGCTGTTTGCTCAGTCAAAGAGCTTTGATTCTGTCTGCAATCAGAGTGTCATATCTGAGCTAAATGAGAAGATTCATCGCTAGCGGATAGGAGCTCATTCTCCTAAACGTTAGATTGAATCGAATATTTCCCATTTCCATGCTCGATGTTGCTTATGGGAGAGAACCTGTGTCGGGTATGATAAGATGATCTGGTGTTAAATTGACCTCGTGTGCATCATCGCCACCATTAATTGATCCCACAGATATTCGTCGGACGTTGCAAATTTAACTCCTAACTGTTTTGTGACACTCATTCTTGGGAATACAAGTAGAGTCAAAGAACCTTCACGTCATGAAAAACTGACATTGCCGCACTATTGTTCAGAGCTTTAATCAATGCTGTTGGCAATTGATAACCACTTAGTCTCGTTGCTGTTACATCGCTGAATAGGGACCATAAAAATCCAACACTTAAAAAAAACTATTTCAATACGTGGTCAGCTACAGCGAACAGTCAAGCATGTAAGAAGTCACTTTCCATTAATGAAAAACTGGTCTAATTCCGTTGTAATAGCCAGGCTCATCGGTAAAAGCATAAGAAACAAAAAGTGCCGCTTATTAAAGCCAATTTATGTACATTTCATGTCAATTAAAATAAATATGGCGAGAGGGTTTTTAAGCAGATATCGAACCTTCCACATGGAAAGACAAGTGTCCTCCCGAGGGAACATGAGTGTTGGAGGGGGGGGGGGGGGGGGGGGGGAGGGGGTATCATACAAAGGCCTTCGCAGCTTGATAGAGTTGAGCAAGGGAAAGAATGTGCACGGGAAGGCATGATCTTCTATCATTAATACAGGGATCGTAAGATAGCCAGGACAGTGCATTGTATGATTCCAACACAAAACGCAGCACATCACAAGTGACACCGGAATCAAGCAAATGGCCTGACCCCGATGCGGTTCCCTGGCCTCCATTCGCAGCAGCATCATCTTCCACTCTCACGAGGGTGCAGTAGAGGTGGAGAGCGGATTTTAAGCATACGGGATTATTGCGCCTTGCTTGTTGGCAAGCAGCCCAGAACCATTCAGGAAGTGGTCCCACAGGAGCAGTTGAAATATGATATCCCAGAGCAAGAGGTTGCTGCATTAGACTCGGCTTCTCTGATTGAGGGTCGGGTATGCCGAAAGGAAGGAGAGCACACTGAAGAAAGTACTTAGCCCTCTCTCGACAAGCGTCATCATAAGACATGCCTTGAGTGTTCGGTTCAGGAGGAATACCAGCACAAGGACCCCCTGTTCGACCCGGACCAGCACTAGTTGGTGTACTTGGAGGCTCGAGATTGGAGATGCACATCTCAGTGTTGTCATCCACTTCATCAAGCTGGCAGAAAAATTCATTGAAATTTAAATCCTCCTGCTCCTGAAATAATAATAAACAGAAATATAAGTACAGTACACATTCACTCAGAAAGATGAGCAATCAATGGCAACCACTCACCGATTGAGCCTGAGCTGAAGTGCTGGTTGGAAAGACAAGGATATGAGAAGTACTAGGCGCATATCCAGCAGCTGAGATTACTCCACTAGCAAAAGGACCTGCATATGCTTGGCCTACTTGACCTCCAGCCTGGCCTACACCTCCGCCCGAGGCTGACAGACCTCCACCTCCCCCTCCGGCGTTTCCACCACCCCCTCCACCACCACCATGACCCCCATGGCCTGTGTGACCGCCAAGGTCACCGATGTTGAGGTCAGAGCCAAGGAAGAGTCGGAATGTGGACTGAGGTTCGGTGGAGATGAGACAAGCGGAGAGGAGAGACGGTGTCTCGTGCGCACAAGTGCCTGAGACACGCGAGTCTGCAGTCAGATTTGTCGTGACGGTTAGCTTGCCGTTGTAAGTTGGACCACCGTTGCTTGGCGTTATGGGAGTTTGGCTAACCAGACTGCAAAGCGCACAGTTGGCTCGAAGAGAGCGGTTAACGTTCTGCAGATTGCGCTGACTAAGGAGAGCGCTCCAACCTTTTAACAAAGGAATGATTATTTTATTAGCCTAAGTTTTAAACACAAAACCTCTGGTGTCAAACTTAGGGGGTGACAAATAGGATCAAACATTTCGAGCCTATCATTAACTTGCCACTCCAATTCACATTTCCTTCCACAAGTCGAGAAAGCAAAACAATATATTGCACACGCGACTGAGCTGAGACGGCAGTCTTTTCACCCATAATTACCAGACCCAATTTTCCCATTAACACAAGCATAGCTATTCAGGGGCAATAAATTGTATTAAAAGGAGGATCAACGTTAGCAAGAAGGGGAAGGGTGATTGAAACTGGACTTAATGAAAATTTCGGGAAGATAAGGGACAAATACATCCAATTCAAGAGGGAAAACCTCGTATTAAAAAACCCTAATGTTCCTAAGTAAATCAGAATAAAAGAAACTCCCTTAAGATACCTACCCATATATACCTATGTATGCAAAGTCTATGTTTACCATGTAAACATTCCAGAATATCTGAGATTGTGCATCGATAGAACTAACCTTTCAGTTCACCATGTCCAAGACGTCCAAGTCTTCCAACAACCAGCCTCCAAGCATTAGCTGTCGAAGCAACCACAGAGATGATGAAATCCCACAGTCGAGCCAGTGCCAAACGTCTTGTCGAAATGTTAAATCCATCCACTCCCGCCTTATTAGACGGTGCGTTGATGGCGCTGGGAGCACGTATATTTATGAAAGTCTGCTTAGCCAATGTGCCATATTGATCGATACACGTGGCAAGGAGCCAATTGGAATCCTCAGACAGGCAGTAAGAGACAAAGAGTACTGAGGAAGGGGAGAGTGGTTCTGAAGGATGAACTTCCCACTGACCCCAAAGGTCATGGGTATGGGCCAAAGTATAGGCAGGAGCGTAGACCCGATTTACATGATCTTTCTACAAAAGATAGAGTGGAACAGCTCATGATATAATTTTAAGACATACACATTTTCGATCTAACAACAAACCTGGAAATTCGCCGATATCACCTCTTTATCGGCCGCGGGCCCCATTCCTGTGAGCGTTCGATTAGCATTGATCAAGGTAGGAGAAATAACCCGATCGATAGAGGAGTAGACAGCGAGAGCCATTGATTTGACATGGGGAAGAAGCCCAGCATCTCCTACATCTTCTCGACCACAAACACCGCTACGAGGGGAGATGACATGTGTCATGGGAAGGAGTTGAACAGACACCCTCAGTCGCCAGGATTGGGGTAATTCCATTGTTAAACGACCTGCAATCTCAGCCAGACATCTTGTAGCCAATCCACGCGCTTCATCACCCATATCAAACAGCTGAGTGAATGGATCAATAAGGTAGATCACCAGGTGGACATCCGTTTTAGCATCAGTTGTAGGATCGTAAGCTGTAGTGAGAAGCCCTTGTCCATTCAGGGGGCTTATTTTTGATTGAATGAGTGGTATAGAGACCGGAGGCATCTCCTGTATGCCAGTGAAGGGAGTCAAAATTGATTGACTACCATCAGGCATAGCCACACCCCTCTCAGAAAGCATCTTCCGTACAGTGTTGACTACACTCGCTTTGTAGCGTTGGAGACAGTAGTGAAATGCAGCAGTTGAATGTGAGCCACTTCCTGATTGCTGTTGCCTTCGCGGCTGACGTGCATTCATAGGAGAAAATCCCGATGCGGGATCATTTTCGTCTAGAGAGTCAGACAAATGAAGTTAATCAAAAAACAATCAATTCCGGGGGCTCTATGGATACGCAAATTAACTCACCTCTAAACGGGTAGGCACATTGGACATGGATGAATGCATTTTCAAGAGAACCAGTATTGGGTTGATAGTAGGGGTAGTGATGCCCGAGTTGACAGTTCTCAAAGGCTGCTGAGAGCTCGTAGAAGAAGGAGGAGAGGAGTTCGGTTGACCGGCGATGATTCTCACTTTGATTCTGCCAAAATGGGATAACAGCGGCGTAGGCCACTCGCTTCGCACGCGACAATGGTGACAAGCAAAGGTGATCCTAAATTAAAAAATATATAAAATAAATTGCAAAGTTATTGCTTTTTATTTATCAAATGGCAGGCGTCTTGATGGTTATCATTAGTCCTTTAGTTGACTTCAGGCTTCACAGAGGGGAGGATGAACATCAAAGAAGAGGTCGTTTAAGGAAATTATTTAAGTATTGAATTCAAGTCAAAAGTGAACATATGGTCAATGAAATAAAACAAGTTGATGAAGAGAGTTTAATTATTTATTCCAAATTTCAGTTGAAAAATAAGCACACGAAAGCATCATAGACCTTTCTTCTTTCGCAATGCAATCAGTTAATAAGTAATTTGTTGAAAAGGATGGCTAGTCTTCTAAGGACCGTTTGAGTTGTGTCAAGATTGCGAAACGTACCCAATCTCGAAGGCTGAATGGCGAGATGAGGACAACTGAACTGGTATTCCTTGGATTTCCACCAACTTTGAATTGTGGAATTGGTTGGGCTTTAGACGATTCACAGCGTCCACGGCCGGCCAACTGATGGAAGGCTTTCCAAGTCAGTGGACCTTCGACCTTGCCGGTGGGATCAAATTTTTCAATTAACTCCTGTAACCACAGACGAACGCTCTATAAAAATCAAATACACCAGTTACCTGAAAATGTCAGAGCAAAATTAACATAAGATAGTGGGGTGGGGGCTTACACCAAGAAGTCGAATTTGGTCATTCTTGTTTGAAGGCAAATCAGAGGGCAGCTGGCGAAAGAGAGCGGGATGAAAACTGATGCCCTCCTTTCGAGAGGTTTCATCAAATTTTAGCTGGCGCATTCTCTCTTCGCTGGAAGAGAAATTACTACCCATTATAATTTCATCAAGAGTGGAGAGATCGCAGCAACTCTGTTCCAAAGCCGACGCCGTGAGAGCACAGACATCTAAAAAGGAGAGAACAAAAATGGGATAAATTGTGTTGCATTCAGAGACGCCGAAGGAGACAGTCAATGACACGGATTTCAGTAAATATTCCAAAGGAGCACCTAACGACACTCCTTGAATTACTTAGTACAATGATCCATGGCTCAATTTATGGATGTATATTTGCACAGAAAGGAATGCCAGAAGCAGGATAAGAACATCTGTAAGTGAATACAGAGATACTAACATATTTTGGCAATCTTTTACTCTGAAATTTGTACTCTCGTCTACTTCTTATTCGTAACCTCATCTATAAAGTGCATTCCAATGTAGATGGAGAAACGTAAAAAATATTACCCGTCAGTGATTCTTACGGGGGCAACGCATGCACAGGAAGCTTTCGACGATTCGATTGCTCAAACAATTTAGAAGCTAACTTTTCTTGGCATCATCAACAGACTTTCATCTTGGGGGATGCAGCGACATACAACACATAGGAAATGATAAAAAATAGAATCGTCCCTTTTTACCAAAGTAAATTTCTCACAATTCACGAAGGAACCGTCATTGATAGAAACTATCCACGGATTAACAAGAAGAAGGGTATTTCAAAGAATCGAATAAGGAGAGAGAGAGAGAGAGTTTACAATAAAATTCTAATAACAGGCTAAAAAAGAGGAGGCGAATGCAAGGAATGTTTACAATATCTCACCATTATAATCATAGAGAGCATCCTTCTCAAGGGTGCCTCGACGTGTATCAGAGAACTTCATCGCCGACTCATTGTACTGCAACCACTCCATCAGAAGACGAACTCCAAATTCTTCCAGCGAGCCTTTCATCCACTGCGTAATTATAGGGAGATAGGCATTCACCGTGGCGGGTGGTGGGGAGGATTTTTTCGGAAGCAATCGCGACGGATCAACACTCGCTATCGATAGACTTGCTACCTCCACTTCATCCTCCCAAAAGAGATTTCCAGCTAGAGCGAATTTGCGATTGACCAAGGCGGAGAAACCGCAATTACAGGGCTGGGTGGGTGGAGGAGCTGGGGAAGCGATGTAGATATCAACCTCCATACCTAGGGGTGACATGGTGCACTCACAGATATTACATGAATCAAAGTTATGATCCTTAAATAGATTGAGAAGAGAGTCGGAGAGGATAATGTTGACTTTAAGTGCATCGCTACCCCTCAGTTCATCAAGGTCAAATGTCGTGGAGTCGGGGTCAGTGGGGTCGGATAGGACACGAGAAGAGGGCTGTTGTTGGGATCGGGAGGGAGGAAGGGAATGTGGTGGTCGACGAGGTGGGTAGAGGAAAAGACAGTCGTATAAACCGTTGGTAGGACCGGTGACTGGTTCAAATGCTAGACCTGGTCTTGATGATACCTCAATGTCTCTAACTTGGTGTAGCTCCTCTGGAGTTAATTTGAACTTGGAAGAAAATGGAATTTGTACTGATGGTGGACACATATTTTGCCATTCCTATAACATTAAAAAGAAAATGAATGTAAGTCGATTGTTTACTAAAAGGAGCAGAAATACAATCAGATTCTGGCAGTTCATAAAACGAGCAAGAGACTAAACACGAAAATTACACGACAAGTTTTTTTTTAAACCAAAGAGAAAAAAACGCGCTGTGTTAAGGTGAAAATAGAACTACAAATACTTTCACTTGACGAAATGAGTTTGCAGTTGCATCTTTTCTTCCCACCGCTATTTAAGTAGCGCTTAACCGCGAAAATTATTCGAGCGAACATGAACTAAATTTGCTCCAAATCAAATTAAACTGCAACAAGTTTTCGAGAATTTGGATTTTCCCACCTTCTGGTTTGGGATAATAACATTGGCAGGATCTTCTCCACGTGAGAGAATAGCACGAAGGAACTGGCGAAAAGACATCTGAAGGGCGTGGGGATTACACCAAAAGATCGACGCTCATAAGGAAAGCAAGTAATTTGTGGAGCAAACTTTTAGATGCAAATACGAAAACTCACACACTTTACTAGGAGCCTAAGCAAAAGCCAAAGAATACTCTTGAACACAGACTATCTACGGGAATAAGCGTAGAAAACAATTGTTTCGGCATTATAGATAGTACCACTTTAATGAGGACAAAACAAACGATGCATGCTTGAATATCGTGAGGGGGGTGAGGAGCATATGAAGAAAACGGCAACCAACGACCGAGAAAAAAGGTCGAGTGCGAGACTTAATGAACCTTTTAGGCACCGATCAAACGTAATCCAACAAGGCACAATTTACTGAATGTCAGATCAAAATTTTTCCCAAAAACCTCTCTTTTGGTACACCTGATCGAAATTCACAAACTCAATATCTTTTGCACCGGATAATTGATTATCGGATTCTCTCGATCAACAGCCGTATGTGTCACCGCCTATGAGGAAGTGCCACTGCAATTATTGATTAAGGAGGCAGCCAAACATGAACTACGTGGAAAGAATGATTTATTTAGATTTTCAAATATTCACCGATCTTCTGCCTGGGGTCTGAGTAATTGTAGATTCATAAAAATGCGAACCCATGGATGACCTACCTTTGGAAAGACAGCCGACTCCTGTTCAAATATCGGTCGGGTATTTTGAATAATGCCTTGAACCAGGTTGCTGGCCAAGTTTTGCTTCTGACGCAGACGGTTCTCCTCAGAGAGCGCCTTAACATCCGAGGGACTGGGTTGGGAACAAGGTCCACCTGAGAGAGCACTTTCTAGAGACGGGGGTGCCTGGTACATTCCAGAAATATCTCCACCACTCACATTCGATTGGTTACGACCTCCGGTCTACATAGAGACATAAAAAAGGAAGTAAGTAAGAAAAGCCAATAGCTGTGTGCAACTTCGAGGAAGCAAATGGAGTTGCCATCGAACCTTTTTCCCCTCTCAAAGTGAACAACCTCAAGAAGAATTAAAATGAGTTTAGGAAATTTGTAATTACGAATGTACGAACATACTTGGAATCAGGAATAATTTTACTAAACCACGATCAAAACTCTAAAATATTCCAAAGCACACAATCTTGAGATGATACATTATTTAAGCTCACCAAATGGATAAAATTATTACCATTCACCTTAAAATAATACTTATAACTTTAGGAGATGTGATAAGAAAATAAATCAGCAAAACAATTCAGAGTGAGATGGGAAAGGTAGAAAGAAATTGGCAAATTTTCAGTGTAAGAAGACCCAGATAAGCTATGTTTACTTATAATATTTAAGTAGAAACATACGTGTTTTATTTGATTGCGTATTACACCAGCCTTGCCGGGTACATCTGACTTCAAACTAGAACCATAGAGTTCATCTTCAAGCGTTCGATGCGTTCCCTCAGGATACATATCTAAAGCAAATAAAATATAAATAATGTGGCACAGGACATTTCATACAACAAAATCGAATTAGCGTGAGAAATTAAAAGAGCTAGATCACTGGTCAAAGAATGAGGAGGTTCACATGCTCATTACCATAGCCATAATTGTCCCTCAGTGCTTGATGAGTTTGTTGTCTTTGATATCGCCTGAAATATGAACAGAAAACACGCAGTGGAACACATATTCAAACACAAATTCACTTCAAATGAGAAAAAAAGATGCACACTGGAAATCATCACATATGGCAATGGTGGCATGTTCAAATGAGTTTGCTTGATCCAAAGAATTCATTAGCATTGAAGGGGGGCGACGACTTTGGTGGGGCAGCTGTTTGGCTAACCAAGAGACCTCCGTTCCCAAGAGCTCAGATGTTATTGTCGGTGGGGGAAGATTTTTGACCTGATGGGAGCATGGCGGTACTCGAACGACACATCGTGGAAGCTTGCAAATAAAAAAAAGGGAAATCAGTGTAAAATCATAATAAACATCCATGGTGGAGCCATTTATTTTCACTCGACAGTAAAAAGCTACAGAGAGATGGAAAGGCGATACAACCCTTTGTCGAGCACCGTTGGTGACATATGCTTTACGTTTCATCACTATAACAGACCATAACACAATGAAATCAACGCCATTCATCGGTCGCTCCATTGTTTGGCTTCATTCCTATCTTTCTAAATAGTCGACACCTGATACTCCCCTGCATCCATCCACAAGAGACTTGTAATTACGTGACGTGATCTGCAGCAACATAGGGCAATCGATTCATTAAGTCCACTTGCTCATTCATCTATCCCCAACCAAATCGAATCCGTTCCTCGTGAATAGATATACCCGCCTGTAGGACCATTCTCTCTCTCTCTCTCTCTCTTATTGTGTGGCGAAGATCACAAAAATCTAGAAGATGATAGCTCGGCAAGAACTCCACTTCAAAGTATGGTTTGCCTTGCCATTGGCTTTTAAATTAAATAGAAATTAGTGTACATACCTTGGGAGTCACTGGGCGGTGAGTATCGTCCCAATCCATGGGCTTTGGTTTAACAGAGCCAAGCACTCCACCTTCCACCTTGGGATTAGTCTGAAGGTAATTCACCAGGCAAGGGGGTTTATTGGCAATAACAGAGGGTTTCTGATGGCATGGTAGGGAGTGTGAGGAATTGAGAGGCATAGAGAGGTTATCAACACCCGATGATATGCTAGCTCCACTAGAAGCCATTAAGTTAGCAGGCTGTGGACTGAGTTTCGGCATTAGAGGATCAGTTGAAGACATTGGACGTTTCATGCCAGCTGAAGTTAAATCCGTGTTGCTATTACCACTACTATTGCCACCACCACCCAATGAAGCATCGACTTCGCTTATGAAATTTCGAAGAATCCGGGAAACTGAACCCGAACGACGATGCATTGGAATTTGTACCTGAGGACTGAAGGAGACGGAGAGGTTAGGGGTTTTAAATATCCAATGCAACGAGTACCTAGAACCCTCACTAATAATTCCCCTTTATGCGATTTTCTAATTTCAATTTGGGAAAGGAAGTGTGAGAATTTGAGAAAAAAATACAGTCATATATTTCATTTGCGAATAGGTATTTACTTGGTGAACTGGCCAATTAAGCCAGTTAAATGTCGCCAATACAAGTGCTGATAGGAATCAATTTTTCCATTGCGATTTCTCAATGTTACTCTTCCGTGCAAGATAAGTGACTTGGGAAAAAATCTTTCCCAAATTGGCTTAGGAGCAATTTATAATAACACGGAGTGATAAAAATCCGCACTAGGAACTCAAGATAGGAAGATGAGATAAATTTTATCATCTAGCCTTGTTACTTGTGAATACTTCTATATCAGACAGTGTGATTTCATGCTCTAACACGTTCTGGTCTGTCAATCTGAAAAATTACTACTCGATGCAGAATTTATTTTCTAGGCTCAACTACAAAAAGGTCCAAAAATACGTCATAACAGTGCCAACAAATTTCTAGGCAACTGGCATCGATATATTTACTTTCTGAAGCTTCCTCGTGGTGCACCCTGGGCAACGTATAATCATACAGCAAAAAGTCTATTAACCGGCAGTTGACTTCTCACTTCAAACTACCATCACCCTCACTGTATGTCATATTCGACCCCTACCAGAGTACTCATCTTACCGTTTCTATGCTTTTGTGTCTGCCTGTTTCTTTTACATCTGTGAATCACTCTTCTATTCTCCCTCCCGAATTCTTCTCACTTTGATGTTCCTCCTCCCCTCTGCAAAGCCCGATGTCAACTAAAGGGCTAATGATAACTATCAAAACGCCTGCCATTTGTTATAAAAAAAGTAATAAACTTTCTGAAGCTCTGGACAAACAGAAGTACTTATAAGACACGACCACTCTCACTCAATTCAACCAACTAATCGAAAAAATCGAATATCGCAGACTACGTACTATGTTAAGAAGCTGAAGTCTCCAATAATATCGGCCTTGAGCTTTACTCAGTTTTACATTTCATC